ACTATCAAATTAAGAAAATCTATTCAAAGAACTTATAATGCTGGTAAACTACAAGACATGTTTTCTACACAACCGGTCGGTTGTGTACACTAGACTAGCCACACCTAGTTGTATCTACCAAAGTCAACTACGCTTGTGGAGCAAGTTATATTGGCCGTCGTTGCTCTAGGAATTTGATTATTCGTGCTCTGGAACACCTACTGGTGTGACTAAATAAAAGTATGGTGAAAACATCAACAGTTCGATATTAGACCACCTGGTCCAATTTGGCTAGCACTGAAGAATCCTTCTTCATTATCTATCGGGTGCCAGACACCAAAGACTCCAAACGGCACAGAGTCTGTTACCATCGGCCTAAAACATCTGGTGCACCGTGTGTCGAAGAAACAGGTCCAACCACTACTACTGCCCTGTTCTTGTGTGTAGCCTATAAATTCATGAATTCTGTGTTATTATTATTTTTCCTAATTTGTCTGATATTCAGTGTGTAGTGTTATGTTGATGCATATTATCACACTTACAGATGCTATTGAACTGTAATCTATTCATATTATTATTATATTATTGTTCCCTTGGGTTCCTAGTGGAACATAGGGCTTCCGTCTTCTGCTGTACTTTTCACCTACATCCATGTTAGTCCATACTGTTTCAACTCTTCTTCACACAATCTCCTCCATGTCACCCTTGCACCGACGTCCCACTCGCCGCTTCCCTTTCGGGTTCCACTCGAGCATTGGCCTGACGCGCGATGTCACCCAGCGGCCTCCTCAGCGAGTGTCCAATCCATCTCCACTTTCTCCTGCATATTTGTTTAGCGATTGGTTCTTGTTTTGTTTGTTCCCATAGTTTCTTGTTGATGATTCTTTCCGGCCATCTGATCTTCAGTATAGAGCGAAAATAGTTGTTGATAAAGGTCTGCAACAGGCTGTTGGAAATATTCTTTGTGACCAAGTTTCTGATCCGTATAGAAGAATTGACTGACTTGACGTTTGTATGGAAAATCCGAATTTTGTTGTTGATGCAGGCTGAGTGACGAAGATTTCCAGATTGGTTTCAGGTTGATGAGTGTGTTTCTCGCCTTCCCGATTCTTGATTTGCCATCTTCGTCCGTTCCTCCTGTAGTTGAGACAATGCTTCCTAGATAAGTGAATGAAGTAACCTCTTTCAAATCCCTCCCGTTGATGGTGATTGGCGCTGGATGTTGCTGCTGCTGTTGTTGTCGTTGTTGTTGGTTGGTTATTTTCATAACCTCCGTCTTGTCTATGTTCACCTGGAGTCCTGTCTTCTCTGGCTGCTTCTTCCACCAGTTTGTCGGTTTTCGCTTGTAAGTCTTCGATTTTGTGTGACATCAAACATAAGTCATCCGCGAAATCCATGTCTTCTAGGTTCTTCACGTTGGTGGTCCAGGATATCCCTGTCTTCTCGTTTCCCACTTTCTGACGCATAATCCATAATTCATATTATTAATTTGATATTATTTAAACATTAACATTGTTAATAACCCTAATTCTTTCATTATTATTATGAATATTTATAACTGTAGAACCTGATGATGAAGGCGTTATCGAAAAGAATATTCTTTGTTCAGTAATCAGTAAAGTAAATAAATAAAATGATTGAGTGCGTTGGTGTAAACTAATAATCACATGCAAAGTTTTGCATGAATCTATGATGTAATCACTGTGTTTTTGTTTGCAGTAATGGTGACGTGTAATATACCAGTGGAACACGTTTTCTTTCAAAATCTGACCTGAAAGAAGTTATGTGGTGTACGAATAAACTGTAAATTTGTATGTAACTACTAATGTCTTAATTCTATATGATCGGGTTTGATAAAAATTACGTGTACAAACGATTACTTAATCCAAGTAACACGACACACAACTACTGTACACTGTGGCTTACTTTAGTTCGTTTGTAACTGTATGTTAGGAGAGTTAGAAGATTATGTTATATCCTCCATGATTCGAAAATGTTTCACTCAGTATTATAAATCAGTTTGTTTACATATATCTGTGGTTTTGATCGCTGCTACTACTCTTCATCTTTCTCCACCTCTGTATATTTATTATTTTATTGTATTACTAATTTTATCATTTGTTTTCGAGTGTTGATTTTCAGGGATTTGATTGATTTCAAGATTGATCACAAACTGATTTCAGTTAGATAACAACTGTAAAGCAGTCAGGGAGGACTGGACAGGTGTTTCGTCCCTCTTTGAGACTCTTCGGCAGTGTGTACCAATGATCCCACCAGGGACAAATGCTTGCCGATGACAGTGGTAGGCGGTCGCGTTACACACCGCAGATTAGCAGAAGTTAGAATTCATCAGCCGGCCATTGGATTCTGTCCCAGTGGCTGAAATGGTCAGAGAGCTAGCCGTGTAACCTGTAGTCCTGGGTTCGATCCCGTGTGGATGGGACCATGGGTGTGAGCTTCTGAAGAGTTTTGAACAAGGACGAAACAGCTGTCCAGTAATCTCTAGTTTTCATTGGTTTTTCTCTAATAGAAGGTCAGCTTCTGATCAATCTGGAAATTTATCATTTTTACAGCTTGATCTCAACTTCTTACACTTACTTCTTAGCCCACTGCTAGATAAAACATTAATTGACTGACAGTACTTGAAGAAAAGTTATCTCTGATTACTTGAATCCATTGCTGTTTTGTAACTTCTAAATTTTGTGTAAAAGGAATGAGTTTACATAACCGAATTTTGTATTAGTCATTTCCACCTACACGCAGCAGATAGGCGTGCGTCGGTGGCACAGCGGTTAGGATGCTCGCCGACCATGCACATAGTCCGGGGTTCGATCCCCGGCCAACGACGCACTCCTTTACCTCGCTAAGCCAGAAATACTGCTGGTGAAGAGGAAAGGTTGGGCATGAGGCTAGCAACCCCATCCCGTAAAAATAAACACTGCTACAGAAACTTCAAGCCACAAGCCTGTTATTCTATAGGTAATTCTGTGTTGTTGCTTATACAGGAACGGAAAGTGCAAAGTATATGACTTATTAAAAATAAAAAAGCTTTATGATCGATCGTAGTTTAGTGTTCCAATTGTTCTAAAGACTATCATTGTTTCTTGTCGTAAAATCTCTCTTGATTGTTGAAGATTACTACTGGTAATTCGCTCATACAGTGTAGCAAAAACGTGTGGTTCACAGATCATTGATATGTATATTATTATGCCTTATTATTCTAAAACAATATCGTCTTTACGGACTCCAGTTATACTTGATGAATTTGATAGTTTATTCCATAAAAAAATATTAATCTCAGTGTAGATATCGTCGGGAACTAACATCAGTTAGAGAATCACTGAGAACCTCTATAATCGAATTATCGATCTCCAGGACATTAGCAGCTACTGGATAGATACCCTGAACTTGTGATGAAAATTTGTTGCCAGTGGGGTCTACCATATCAAGGTGAAATAGAGATGCTAATCGAAGGCGTCGGTTCGTGGTGGTGGTAGCGCTGTGTGTGTGTGAGGGATTGACAGAGTTAGAATTTATATGTCATTGAACTCCAGTCCAAGTGGTTATGGATGGTCAAAGAGCTGGGTTTTGGTAACCTAAAGGCTCTGGGTTCGTTCCCTGGTGTGGGGTTTTGTATTCGCTCTGCTCAAGAATGCCATACCAGGGTCGAACTACTAATCATTTGGAAACCAGAGGGTTCAATCTAGAGAATTATTATGATAACGGTACTTTTCTGCTCCCGCTTAGTCATATGTCATATTGCGAAGGATATCAAAGGTTGTCAGTAGGGCAATTTATGTGCCACGAAGTCAGCCCGTTACCATCGTAGTCGACAGACACACCTGAACTCATGTGAGGAATGGTCTAAATCCATATTGTCTGACTCTCAACACCCTCTCTATTCTCATCTCTCCCCTCCCATCTCATCAGGTAGAACTAGATGTCATTATGTGGTTGTACAACCAATTACGAAAACTCAAGGATACCTACCCTATTTGGCCCGCGTTCTATGTGATGCTAGAGATAGTGTTAATCGTGAAATCTGCGACTTACTATGTTAATTAGCAAAATAAATGGCTCTTTTTTCTTTAATCCTCTCCTATTGGTAATCTATGATGACATTCAGCATCAAAAATAAGATCCGGATTTTCAACTCCAATGTGAATTCAGTCAGTGCTACTTACTTTAAGGATCAGAGACTTGCACCGCGCGTCATAAAGAGCACCTCAAACAAACTACAAACCTTCATTAACAGTTGTCTTCGCTCAATACTTCGCTCAAGATCAGATGGCTGACCAGAAAAGATCAGCAATAGAGATCTCTGGCAATGAGCGAACCAACACAGCAGGAACCGATTGTGAAACAAATAGGCAGGAAGAAATGGAGATAGGAGGATTGGCCATACTCTGAGGAAACCATCAAGTGAGTGACATCACTAGACAAGCCATTGCTCGAGTGGAACCCGGCCGAAAGGGAAGCGGCGAGTTGGTCGTCGGTGCAAGGGTGACTTGGAGGAGGTCATGTGAAGAGGAGAAGAAAACGTGTGGGCAGACATGGAGCCAGGTGAAGACCCTAGCAGAGAAGCGAACGCAATGGAGACGCACGGCTGAAGCCCTATGTTCCTGTAGGAATTAAAGGATACAACAATAATAATAATCATGATTCTACACTTTCTGTACATCTTTGACTTTACTTTCACTATCCTGTTTTGTTTTTTGCTGTTATCGAGTAAAGTGGATGCAACACATTGTACCAAATGCTAAGAATTCCACACTGTATCACATAAGTACTGTTTCGGAGTAGATTTTATTCAAGGTGTCACGCATATCCTAACTAAAAATGGCAAATTATAAACACACTAGCTGTTTATGTATTACATATATTATTTTTGTCGTTATTATTAGTAATCATTCAATTATCTTCGATTATATTTCTTTAATTTCTATTGAATTAAGTTTTTTGTTTGTTTGTGTATTTTTAATTTTTTGCTATTCATATATTTTTTTCTTATCCTCGCATAGACTTCGCAACGCGTGTTGTACTGCCTGTGATCAATAATGATTTAACCTCTAGTTACATCAACGCAAATTATATCCGAGTAAGTGTATATATGTGTATATATTAAATGTTGTTGTTTGCAACGGTCATATATATATAACAATAATCAATTTATCGATTTATTATTATTGATATATTTTTGTATAACTAGATATTAATTACTATTAGTTATTTCATTATTAGTCTATAGTGTCTATCGTATTGTTGGAAAAAAATATCCTTATTATGTTATTTTATAATACAATTATAATATATTGGGTCAGTTAATTTCGATTAATTAATTGTTTTTTTTTTTAATTTTTTGCTTGAAAGTTTGTTATTTTTTTCTGTCAAAATCAATCAACTTCGCTTAGCGATTTTGTGAATTCACTTCTATTTGTTGTTCACCATTTCAATTTTTATAAAGCTCAAGAAAATGTGTGGCCGGAAGATTTTAGAATTACTGGAAGGAGAGAGAAATTATTATTATTCAAGTATTGGTTTGTAGGGATTTGGTTGATTGGTTACAGGATATTCATCATGAGCTGACATTAGTTAGAGAACCATTGGAAAACCTGGGAGTACTGGACAGCTGTTTCGTCGTAGTTTGGGTCTCTTCATCAGTACGCACCCACCGGGATTCGAACCCAGTTTTTTTAAATAAAGAAATTCAACTAGACATTTATGCTTTTTAGTTTATCAGTCTATATCTTACTTTTTTTTTACTTTGCTTCGGCTATCTCCTACGGGAGGATGAGCCGGCTTCATGAACATCTCGAATCATCGCTGCCCAGGCGCAGCGATCTGATGAAGAGAGTTTACGAAGTTTCATGGGAATTTGGTACGAGTGATGTCCCCAGAACCGCTCGGCCTTTTGTTTGAGAGTGCAGCTCTAGCCTTTACACAACCAAGTGTGACCTACAAGGCAGTAGGGGTGGAGTAGGGAGTCCACTATCCATTGGCAGCCGGTGACCGGAGTTCGGTTCATACGCCTTTTTGAATGGATCCAGACATCCAGGACATCCAACAAGCCCTTTGTCCATACGTCTGCCGGTGAGCTCCAGTGAGCTTCATACGCCAGTCGTTGGAGGTTTGTAATCAGGGTTTAGCCATCTCCCCAAGACTGTGATCCAATGGACAGTCAACCCGGTGAAGAGCGCCGGGCATCCGCTTTCGCCCTCTCACTTTGGTGAAAAACACCTCCGCCACGTGAAGGCAGTGAGTAGGACTTCCTCAGGAGAGGCTATGTAAGACGCCCGGTCATATGGGAGCATTTCAAGAGGTGTGCGGAGGGGTGGTCAACCCGCAGCGCAAGGCACCCACCCCCGACCATCCTGAGGCTTTGGAGGCCATATATCATCCAATATACTTTCATGCAGACTTACTTGCATGGTTTGACTAATTATAGAAAAGCGCTTGCTAATAAATTTGAGAGTTATAACACATACTGAACAAAACTTCTCTTATATAATGGAAAGGAACTTCAACATTAAGGGAATAGTAATATTTTGATCGATGGTGACTACCAGTAGATTTCAGGATGCGTAATTCATCCTATGTGTGCGTCGGTGGCATAGCGGTTAGAACGCTCGCCGACCATGCACATGGTCCGGGGTTCAATCCCCGGCCGACGCACTCCTCTTCCTCGCTAAGCCAGAAATAATGCTGGTGAAGAGGAATGGTTGGGTGTGAGGCTAGCAACCCCATCCTGTAAAATAAACACTGCTACAGAAACTTCAAGCCACTAGGTTGAAGCCCTATGTTCCACTGGGGAACGTGAAGGAAAAAAGAACTTCATCCTATTCGATACTCGTCAGCTGGGTGTACTTGCATTCCCAGTGAGTGATGATGATGATGATGGTCCTAATGAGATTTGAACCTTGCTTGCCCCCCCCCCCCAACTGTGTTAGGCATAGTTACATTGAACAATTATTATTATTATTGTTTCCTTTAATTCCTAGAGGAACATAGGGCTTCAGCCGTGCGTCTCCATTGCGTTCGGTTCTCTGCTAGGGTTTTCACCTGGCTCCAGGTTTGTCCACATGCTTTCATCTCCTCTTCACATGACCTCCTCCAAGTCACCCACTCTCGCACTGACGACCAACTCGCCGTCGCTTCCCTTTCGACGGGTTCCACTCGAGCGATGGCTTGTTCAGTGATGTCACTTGATGGTTTCCTCAGAGTATGGCCAATCCATCTCCATTTCTTCCTGCCTATTTGTTTCACAATCGGTTCCTGCTGTGTTGGTTCGCTCATTGCCAGAGATCCCTCTCTATTGCTGATCTTTTCTGGCCGGCCATCTGATCTTGAGAGGTATTGAGCGAAGACAACTGTTAATGAAGGTCTGTAGTTTGTTTGAGTTGCTCCTTATGACGCGCAGTGCAAGTCTCTGATCCGTATAGACTTTCAACAATAAGGGGATAATATTTTGATCGATGGTGACTACCAGTAGATTTCAGGATGCGTAATTCATCCTATGTGTGCGTCGGTGGCATAGCGGTTAGAACGCTCGCCGACCATGCACATGGTCCGGGGTTCAATCCCCGGCCGACGCACTCCTCTTCCTCGCTAAGCCAGAAATAATGCTGGTGAAGAGGAATGGTTGGGTGTGAGGCTAGCAACCCCATCCTGTAAAATAAACACTGCTACAGAAACTTCAAGCCACTAGGTTGAAGCCCTATGTTCCACTGGGGAACGTGAAGGAAAAAAGAACTTCATCCTATTCGATACTCGTCAGCTGGGTGTAGTTGTATTCCCAGTGAGTGATGATGATGATGGTCCTAATGAGATTTGAACCCTGCTTTGCCCCCCCCCCCCAACTGTTTCGAAGCATTATCCACTAGGGTCATAAGAACTACCACTTTGTGCAACGAGTATCAATCATGATTTATTTTTTTTTTAGGTTGATTTGAGTTTCTGCTTGATTACTCATTGAGAATGCAGGCATATCCAGATGACGAGTCCTAAATGGAACGAAAGGCGAATCCTGGATTCCACTGTTAGTTACTATCGGGAATCGGGAAGGCAAGAAACACATTCATCAACCTGAAAACAATTTGGAAATATTCGTCACTCAGCCTGCATCAACAACAAAATTCGGATTTTCAATACAAACGTCAAGTCAGTTTTGCTATACGGATCAGAAACTTGACGGGTCACAAAGAATATTTCCAACAGCCTGTTGCACACCTTTATCAACAACTGTCTTCGTTCTATACTGAAGATCAGGTGGCCACCGGAAAGAATCACCAATAAGAAACTATGGGAAGAAACAAAACAAGAACCAATCGGTCAACAAATATGCAGGAGAAAGTGGAAATGGATGGATTGGACACTCGCTGAGGAGAGCACTGGGTGACATCGCGCGTCAGGCCATCACTCGAGTGGAACCCGAAAGGGAAGCGGCGAGTGGTTCGTCGGTGCAAGGGTGACATGGAGGAGATCGTGTGAAGAGGAGATGAAACAGTATGGACTAACATGGATGCAGGTGAAAAGTACAGCAGAAGACAGAAGCAAGTGGAGACGTGCAGTTGAAGCCCTATGTTCCACTAGGAACCCAAGGGAACAACAATAATAATATAGTTATCAGAAGATGACTGCTTCTGATTCAGTTAGTTGGGTACAGCAATGAAATCATAAATATGGGGAGGTATCTGTGACCATAGTGTGACATGTCATTTTCGTTTTATTTCACTGTAGCCGATAGTGTACTAGACTTCTGAATATTTTGTGTGTGTATATTTTCATACTGATTGTTTATTTTGTGTGAACTTTTAAAACCGGCATCTCTGGTGAATAAATCACCTAAATATTATGAGTACAAACTTAATTTGATTAAATAAAAATAACAACTTGACTAGTATTCAGATTTTGGTTTCGTAGAGATTTGATTAATTTCAATGTAAACTTCCTCTTAAACTTTCATGTAGTGACCGGCTTCAAGAGGTATGTCTTGAAGTTTCCACTAAGAAGTTGTGATCGATGAAGTCTACAAAGACGAGTGCTCACCAGTCAGTGACATTGGATAGCAGTTGGAGTAAAGCTCAAATTGTGATACAATTTAGAATTCATAGGTAGGTCATGGAGGCGCCCCCAACTCAGTCAGTCACGGCTGGATCGCCCATGTTTTCGGCTCATAAACTGAAGTACTTGAGCGTAATCCCTAATTGTGTGTTTGGCTACACATTGCTGTATAGTCCCAAATCAGGACAAAACAGCTGTCGAGTACTCCCTACTTTTTTCAGTGGTCCTCTAATTGATGCCAATTTTTTATGAAATCTACGTTGTGATTGAATCTTACTTTGACTTTATCATTAGTAATGGCTATTTACTTTTTAATGTTTCTTTTTTTTGTATTTACCTCGGAAATTCGTCCACATCTTGCTGTGTATCCAATATAATTGTGTGCATACACAGGGTTATAAAGGTCGTCCAAATGCATTTATTGCTACTCAAGGAGTTATGCCTCATACAATAAATGATTTTTGGCGTATGATATGGTATTCACATACACCAGCAATTGTTATGATTACAAAATTAGTTGAAAATAAAGAAGTAAGTCTGTTCATTTATCTACTTACTTTTTATGTGTGATTAATTCATGATATGTGAGATCAATGTCAAACAAATGTAAACGTGACAACCTTACCTTATGTTCCACTTGGAACATAGCTGGGATTGCTAGCCTCACATTCAACCTTGCCTCTTTTCCAGGCCTACTTACCATCCAGTAAACTAGGTGAGGCTTAGGAGCGCGTCAGTCGAGAATTGAACCTGGACCTTCTGCTTGTCTGGCGAGCATTCTACCAATTGGAACATCTTAGGTTGAAACCCCTACCCCCATAGGCTGAATTAGTCCTTAGTATAGGAATCTTTAATATTTCTTTGTAGCTCGCCGCAGCGTATTAAATAAACAAATCTGACTCAGGTAACTCTGTTGTTTTGAATATTTTTATTTATTTAGCAATGTTACTCTATATACAAACTACGACCTTATAGCAGGCACACGGAGAAAAAAAGTGTATTCAGGTCTTATCCTAATGACGTGATTATTTCCTATCAAGATTATTAGCTATATATTTGTTGAAAAGAACCTCTTCGCTGAATTTTTGTATGTTCGTAATATTGTAACAACAGAAGACAAGGGCCAGGCAACAAAACGTTTATTACGGAAAATCAACACGTATTTATAGATTTTGATGTACATTATTGTAGATTATTGTTAGTAGAAAATACAGTCTGTTGATTGGTTGTTTCTCACACAAAGTTAACCTTGTATCTCTTGTGGCTGTGTCAGTTCATCTATATGTTAACTTATCCGCCTGTCCATATTGACCTTGTTTTCACATGACTAACATTGACCTCAATTACTGTCAACCAATTGGCTAGTAGACAGCTCTCACCACAATATTACTATGGGAATCATGGAATTATTGAAAAAGTTCAATAATCAATCTGCTTAGGCAGTTTGAACTTTGGGATTTTAGTAGTGCTATTGTATTCCATCCTGTAGTGTTGTAACAACAGAAGACAAGGGTCAAGCAACAGATCGTTTATTAAGGAAAATCAACACATATTTATGGATTTTAATGTACATTATTGTAGATTATTGTTAGTGGAAAAGACAGTCTTTTGATTGGTTGTTTCTCACAGAAAGTTAACCTTGCATCTCTTTGTGTCTGTGTCAGATCATCCATAAGCTAACTGTATCCGCCTACGCAAAGCGTTTGTTCTCATTTTCTCACCACCAATATTGGGGACATAAACATTGACGTCAATTACTGTCTACCAACTTTGGTTAGCAGCCAGTTCTCACCACAGTGTGATTATAAACTGATCAGTGTGAATATTTTCTCAATAAATGAACTTTCTTCTTTTAGATCATTTACTTACTGTATTAAGATCTACAATTCCCATATTCAGCTAAATCTTTTTCTACCCGATTGTTCAGTCCGTCTTATACTTACTTATACTTGACCTTAATAATTATTGGAAGATATCTGATATACCATTTTGCCTAATTCGATGCATAGGATCATTTGACCTACTGAGCGAGCTTATTGATTATTTGTGGCTTGAATGTCACACACGGATCCAATTTTTTTTTCTGTAAGGATCCTACACCCTTCCATATTCCCCTTTTTTCATATAAAAACATTCGGAAGGATTTAAACTTTGTCTTTATTTTGTAAAGTGATACTTCCTCACATTATTATTATTACTATTACAGAGTGTTTTAGACAATTTCCATAAATCCCAAAGTATAGTCGCTTATTCTGTTGTATATATTCAGAACTCCTTATTTTAATCTTTCGGATGCTGCTGTTATCCTACTCACAACAGGCAATCGGTCGGTCAGTTAGTTGACCGGTATGTGATAATATACATGTCATTCACTAAATATTTTTCAGCCATAGGAGCTCTCCGTCTACAAACAAAAAGATGCTAAGGGTTATTGAACTCTGTTCAGTTAAACATTCCATATCCCATGCTTATTTTTGCTTCCATTGGAAGAAGATACATCGGCTGACTGACTGACTGGCTTCTTGAAGACTTTCACTAACCCGCGTCATTTTGTCTCTCCGATTCTAGGAAAGAATATTTTTTTTTTTTTTTGAGTTTCTGTAGCGATTGAATCGATTTTCCGAGGTAGGGTCACTAATCTGACTCCTAACCTTCCCCCTTTCTCTGGGCTTAGGAATGGCTAGTAGACCAGTGAAGTAGCAGACTAGTATTATTCCCATTGGTTCTGAATGGAACCTAGGGCTTCAACAACACATCTCCATTTCATCCTCTTCTCTATAGTCTTTTTTAGCTGGATCTTCGATTGCCAATAAGCTTTGATTTTTCTCTTCACACGACCTCCTCCATGTCACTGTCTGACACAGACCCAGCTTGTCGTTCCCCATTCGGGTTGTTCTGTTTAACGGTTTGCCTGGCGCGTGGTGTCACTCAACGGTCGCTTCAATATATGTTCTCAATCCATCTCCAAATTTCTTCTGGACATTTGTGTTGGGCAGTGGGATTTTGGTTGGTACATTGCCTGAATTCCTTTCCGCTAAGCCTTTCTAGTCAGTTATCTGATTCGTATCAAGCCAGCGTAGGCAGTAGTTGTTGATAAAAGTCTGTAGCAGGCTGTTTGAAGTGCTTTCGCTGGTGCACCATGTCTCTGATTGACTTGATGCTGAGTGTTGAAGATCCAAATCTTGTTCCATACTGATTTCAAAGTAATTAAAGCTTGTCTTGCTTTTCCTGCACCAGTGAAGTAGGCCAGGCATAATCTTGAACAAAACAGCATTGAATATAATCGTCGTTTATTACCTTACAGCCAGCCAGGTGGCATAGCGGTTAGGATGCTCGCCGACCATGCACATGGTCCGGGGTTCGATCCCCGGCCACAGACGCACTCCTTTACCTCGCTAAGCCAGAAGTAATGTTGGTAAAGAGGGTAGGTTGGGCATGAGGCTAGCAACCCTATCCTGTAAAATAAACACTGCTACAGAAACTTCAAGTAACTAGCTTGAAGCCCTATGTTCCACTGGGGAACGTGAAGGAATATATATATATATATATATATATATATATTACTACACATAGCCAGGTGGTAAAAATCACCTTTTCCCTATCGAATTCAACAGAAATTAAGTACATAAATAATAGTAAAAGGAACCGTTTTTACATTTTTGACACAAGAGAAGAAGAAGTGAATAGTTTCAGAACAATTTTGCCTACACTGTCAAACAGTGTCAGTGTATTTTTGTATTTTTTTCTCGAAAGAAGAAAGAAAGAAGTAGTTATGCAACACTGTGTATAGGTGTGTATGCGTGTATGCATATATATATATATGTGTGTGTGCACGGTATATGGTATGTACCGGCAACTTGTATATTAATTAATGTATGCTGAATTTGAATTTTGATCCGCCCACGCATTTTTATTTTATTTTGTTGTTTTTTTGGTCGTCATTTTCTTCATAAAGCGCATTAGATGTTTTGCTTTATTTATTTATTCATTATTAGGGATTGATTGCGTTGTGTTTTAGTGAGTGATGTTGCTTTCTACATCTCTTGTGTGTGTACGTGTACGTGTGGGTGTGTGCGACCACGTTTTTAAGCGATGCATTATTAGTTTTAAAGGAATAGACGTTTTTATTACCATCGAAAATAAAATATTTTATTTCTGTTGGCTTCATTGTGATGAGTATATTGCTTGTTGTGATTGTCTTTGTCTGTATGTGTGTGTGTATGCCTACATACGTGTTTGTTTCGAGTGTATCACTCACGTCTTTTTCTATCACAGCTACTACTACTAATGATTAATTCTGAAGACTATGCAATATTGGAGGTATATAGGTTTAAATAATTCATGGATTTTTCATGATAATTATTATTCCCTGTGGTTCCGTGTGGAACATAAGACTACCAACAGCAGATCTTCATTTCACTCTGTGTCCCCTGTAGTCCTCTTTATAACTGGTTCCACGATTGCCCATAAGGTGTCCTCTTCTCTCCTCCACGTCATCCTTGACCGGACATTCAAATCGTCGTTTACCATTTGGGTTCGACTTGAAGGCTTTACACATGACTTCTAGTTGTACCAAAATACTGTTGTGTTGTTGTTTATTACTTTTTGCCCTATCAACAATCATACAAGATAAAAGTAAGTGGTGGTGCTGATGGAAGATGGAATGCAGATCTGGGTTGGACCCAGTTATTCAGAGGATGCTGTCAGCCTTGTAGCCTATCACCCACCATTTGGATTTCCAGATCACCTTTAGTTATCACTCGCTGTCATAATAAATAGTTTATTAAAACCAAAGATTATCTAAAAAATGGTCTCAACACCGATTAACAGATAGATTGGTCAGATTGTTAGTTAGTTAGTTGATCTAGAAAATATCAGTTAAACAGTGGAGTTGGTCCGTTTTTTATTTCAAATCTGATCATGAATTGGCTTTAGTTATAGAACCATAGAAAACTAGCCAGGGAGTATTGGACACCTATTTCGTCCTTGTTTTGAACTCTTCAACAATACACACTTATTCCTGTCTGTCTGGATTCAACATAGAACTTGGCACCGAAATGCACCAGTTCGAGTTGCCACGTTCCAAATACCACACAAAGGTAGACAAGAAAATGAGTGAAGAGAATCAATAGAGTTTTGACAAGTATAAGAGTGAAACAGAATGAGTAATGGTAGAAAGCAATATGAAAGATTACAGAGACTGAATACATCTATGTAAGCCATTGACAACGATTTTGAGCCATGTCACCTATTGTCTCCAGCCATTGATTCTTAGAGTCCCGAGGGCGGGCCCCAACCCGGAAGTCTGCATCTCCCTCCCTACCTGACTCAGTTTAACTGTCAAGGATTTCATGGATTGATGAGGCCATGTTTTTGTTTGGCATGGCACCACTTACTCTTTTCCAACCTGCACCTATATCAGCTAGTAATGCCCGTCGGGTGGGGGAGGCGATGGTTAGGGATGCATGCGCAGCACGTGACCTAGCCATCTCAATCTATGTAACTTTATAGCCTCTTCGATTGAATTTCTCTCTTTGCCCAACACTCTACGCCTAACGTCAGCGTTACTTACCTTATTATACAACCTAACGTGATAAAGTTATCGTAGGCATATATGATCAAAAACAATCAACCTTTTCATATCTTCAATACACACCCATTACTCCACCGGCTATTGAATCGATGAGTGGAATGGGAATAAACATCTGTCCAGTACTCCTTGGTGATCAGTGGTTCTCTAATTGATGTCAGTTTATGTGGTCTAACTTGAAGAATAAATCAAATCCCCGGAAACCAAGACACACTTAGAAAGTTTTTGTTTCAGAATAAGATTTGATAAGTCATGTCAATCTGACTCCTTACCTTACAAAATGCTTACTTAACTAAACTTCACAGTCTTTTTTATCTATGCATCAGCTGTTAACTGTGACAGGCACTGATTCAGAAATATGACTGAGTAATGTAATTAAGTAACCCAGCACAAATTCTTTTTACGTACTACTAGACAGTGAATGGGCCGCACTTGGTGCCTAAGAGATCTATGCTACTACACGTTTGCTGAAGTTGAAGAAGGATGCGTCGGATTCGAACTCGGGGACTGGTAATTGCAATTTTTAAACGCTTCAGCTAGTTAGACACCTTCACTCTATCACAATGAAAAAGAGGAAGGATAATTTGTTGCTTAAATCACTGACAGTAAATCTTTAAATGTATTTTATTGTTGAAGGCAAATAAACACAATATAATAGGACAATAACCTTTTAATGCTCACCACATGTCTCGAAACCATAAAAGAACTATGAAATATTTCACTGGAACCGAAGTGCATATGCTAATCCCGACCGATAGCTGCTACCTTGAAGTGATGGTCTGGCTTGCATATCACAATGACCCAACAAGCCACGCTGTCTGGAACTAATGCTCCTGCACGTCCTACCATGCCGGAAAGCACGTGTGGATAGCAGTTGGACTAAAAGCACTTACAATCATATTGTAAGTTCTCTTTACACTATGTTGAAGGATCTGTAGGTGTAGTCGTACTGTTGGGGAATAGGGATGTAACAGCAGTATGGTGTTTCCGTCAGATGATCAGCTGCCTCTCCGCTCAGGAGACGGGTTAGGGTTGGAAAAGACCGACTACGGAAATCGTACGTCCCGACTTACCTTGAGACAATCCGTAACCGGCGATAAGATCTGAATATGGATGCAAATTCAAAAACCAATTCAGACAGGTTGCATGCGATTGGCCTCGAGCAGTTGTCTCCTGGACTCTGCAGTCACGCAACACTAATACCGCTTATATTTTACGTACCCCATGGAGTAATCAACTTCCATTGTGTCGACGGAAGGGAAGTAACAATGGCGTACATACTTCCATAAGTGCTTAAAGCTATAAGCATGTGTTAATGAATCGCTGAAACTCGCTACGGGGATATATAACAGTGCGATACTTTAAGAGGTTAAGGCTTCGTTCAGTCCTTAACTGTGAAATGCTACTGTTCATTTAGGTACCGGTATATGTTTCAGCTGACAAATGTTTGAATATTACACGTGTTAAGCACTATGTTTCCCTTTAATTTATTGCTTAGGTTTGTTTTTCTTGAATACATCGTAAGACTATCATTGATCTTATAAGATTAAATTTCAGACATGGAAATTGTTTCATGTCTCCTTTTTTTTGTTTTCTTCCTAGGTTAAATGTGAGCTGTATTTACCTGATTCCTCTGGTGAGGATGTTTTATCCTTCGCGGAAGATCAATCGTGTACAGGTTCAGTATTTAGTGAAAGCAACTTCAAGAGCAATTTTTATACAAATGATACTGTTGTTAACCGTTCAGCTACAACAACAACAACAACTACTACTACTACTAATACAATAAATAGTGATATAAGTAGTATAATTAACAGTAGCCCTCCATCTTCTGTACCAGCTGTTACAACAAACCCGATAATTGTACCAAATATTAAAAATTTTTCAAGTAGTCCCCTATTACCGTCTTTATCATCACCGCCTATCAATTCACAATCTTCAACTTCATCCTATCGATGTGTATCATTAACTAGTGATGGTATTAATACGCCTGCATCTGTTAGCAGTACAATTCCAACTCCTGTATCAGCTACACTTATTGATAATGAAATTAATTTATCAAAACGTTTACATGATAGTGGGATAGCAAGTGTTGAAGAACAATCTTCAATTATTACAGAGAATAGTAGTAGTAGTAATACTATGCTTAGTAATAACAAAAATGCTAACAACAATAATACTACTTTAGAAGACAATCATAATGATCCAAAACTATCAACTTCTGATCCATGTTTAGATTTTTATCAGTCTATAGCATTACCTGGTGCTTGTAAAACATTCGGAAATATTCATGTACGTATTTTATCCTTGGAAAAACATAATGGATATTTAGTACGTCGTCTTCAGTTGAAGGTGAGTTATGGTTATGCATTTAATCTGTCTCTATAGTTTCGGTGTTTGTTTGTTGTTGTTTTTTTTGGTAAACAGAAATTCAAGAGTTTATAAAAAGTAATTTTCAATAATTTTACAAATGGAGCTGACTGTCCTGACTTCACAAAACTTTCTGTTACCGAACTATAAATAGATGTACATCATCTCCTTGATAGCCAGGCTAGATAGTGTTCTCGAGCGTGTTTTACTAGTGGATATATAGTACGGTCAATGTACTCAGCTCCACAGGAGTGAGTGAATTGGTATATGCATGTTGATGTGGCTCAGTGCGACAGTTTTTCTTTCACGTGCTGGCTGAATAGTTTTTTTTCAAGAAAATTTTATTTGCAGGCCGGCAGTGAAGTTTATTTTACTTTTAGAGATTTCGAAAGCCCCTGTTTCGGAGAATTCCTCCCTCAGTATCACTCTGAAATTTGAGAACCAACGACGGAATCATTTTGGAGAAAATCTGGACCTATTCAGGAGCCTTCTTTGGCTGCTGTGAATCTGGGTAGGGAGGCGTTTTTTCATCAGGATACTCTGAAGATTTCTCAGCTCTTCGTCAACAGACTCCTCGATGAATATTTTTCGGATCCTTGAGAAAAGTGAATATATATGGGATTCTGTCCATCACATATAGGCTTCTTGTAGAAAGATCTCCTCAGCCAGTTATCAACTTATCTTCACAGTTGAACATCAAGAAAATGAAACATTGAGTCTACATTCCACTTCTAGAGTGCAACCGATTCTTCGGTGGGCATTATTGAAGGTTTGGACCAGGTTTCTGAGATTCAAATTCTTATCATAAATAATAAAAGTATCATCGATGTATCTCTTATAAAGATAAAGTTCATTGACTGTTGTTGATAAGATGGTGTTTTCCAGTCCTGTCAAAATAAAGTTGGTCAAGAGGAGAGTCCTAAAGGAGAATTCATTGCCACATCATGCATTTGCTTGTGGATTTCGTGGTTGAATCTGGAGTAAACGTTGAGCGTACATTGGAGTAATAGATCTTTTAGATAGTGAATCGGTATGCAGACATTAATATTTATTGGATTGAATAAAACCACATAAAATCGGATAGTTTCTCTCAGTGGAAGATTAGTGCAAAAAGAGAAATGACATCAAAGGTGACCATCCTTTTATCTGCCAAATCGACATTCTTAATTGAATCGACAGAATCAAATGTATTCCGGAGACATTGTATCTTGACAACTTTCGCCCTCACCTTTCCAAGAATCTCTTCCCCCTCACCTCTCATTTGACTTATATGAAAAAGTTATCATGTCTTGTATTGGGCGGATTGGAACATCTTGTTTATATACCATAGGCAAGTCGTAGACGCGCGACTTTGTACAACCAAATAGATGAATTCGTTCATATTGTTCCGCACTAATAAATGATTCATCTTTCATTTTCTTTAATATCTTTGTCAATTGGAACTCCGTCTGAGAGAACGTAGGTGTGTTTATAGTTTGGTAACAGAACATCTTGTGAACTCAAGATACTTAATTCCATCTGAGAATAACTCTCTACATAATATGGAATCTCTAGTATAGGGTAACTTCTCATGCATTTCATTCTTTGATGAATAACATTATACTTTTGGGTGAATTCTAGACTAAAGCGTAAATATATTATTGATCACTGTATTTTAGTCTGCATAATCTGATCCCAGATCCCAGTTGGGAGCGAACCAACCAGGAACCGATTGTGAAACAAATAGGCAGGAAGAAATGGAGATGGATTGGCCATACTCTGAAGAAACCATCAAGTGAGTGACATCACTAGACAAGCCATTGCTCGAGTGGAACCCGAAAGGGAAGCGGCGAGTTGGTCGTCAGTGCAAGGGTGACTTGGAGGAGGTCATGTGAAGAGGAGATGAAAGCGTGTGGACAGACTTGGAGCCAGGTGAAGACTCTAGCAGAGAACCGAACGCAATGGAGACGTGTGGCTGAAGCCCTATGTTCCTCTAGGAATTAAAGGAAACAATAATAATATAATAATAATCTGATCCCAGTAGTGCGTTCACAATGGTAATGCTCCAGTTAGCTTACGTAATAATAATAATAGTAATAATAAGTGATGCATGGAATATTATTATTCTAGATAGAAATTACTGTATAATCCAATAGACACGTGTATTATGGATCACCTTACTGACGTGTTAAATAAAAACCATTGTCAGTCAGAGTGATCGTAATATGTTTTGAAAGAAAATTTGCATTGAAATGCAGTACTTCTGTTTAAACTTATTGTAAACACTCTACATAGAGATGGTTAGGACATGTGTTACGTATGCCTAGTCATCGCCTTCCTCGACCAACGGGCAATGTTAGCTGATATAGGGTCAGGCTGGAAAAGAGCTAGCGGCGGTCAAACGAAAACATGGCACCAGTCAATGAAATCTACAACAGTTAGTCTAAGCCAGCCACATAGGAAGGTGTAGACTTCCTGACTGGTTGGGGTCCTCGGGACGGTAAAATCCAATGGTTGGAAACAATTGGTGACATGGCTCAAAATCGTTCTCAATGACTGGCGCAGATGCATCCACTCCTTGTGACTTATGATTTCCAATGAAACTGTTTTGTTCTTCGTTATTACTATTCCTTTGTCTCACACCTCTGTTTACTGTCTATATTGTGCATTTCTCCTACTTTCTTCTCTTGCTTTGTGTGGTACAAGGAGGGAGTGTGGCGACTTGAACTGGCGCACATATGTGCAAAGTTCTATGTCGAAAACAGACAGACATAGAGTATATGATTAACTGTACCAGTTCTACTGTAACCATGTGAAGATTATACTTCGTGTAACATACCTACTTTTACTCATTTTCTTCCCAGCTCTAAATCAGTTGAATTCATTCACATTTTATTTCACATTGCTAATCCTGTGGCTTTTAAAAACTGTTATAACCTGACACAATCGTTAATACCTATTTGTATAATTTATCATAATTGTTTTGAATCACTATCCATGGTGATTGCAATGGAATGATGCTCTGGTTACCAGTTGATTCTTGTAGCTTTTCAGCTGGTAGAGTCTTAGACAAGTAATTAGGAGGCTTCTGTTTGGAATCTTGCCTCGATTGTGAGTTTGATTTCATCATCCACTACATCCATTACGGTCTGTCAACCCAAAGAATATCCCAGATAGCCCCACCGTTAGTTCTTTTTCTCAAACATATGATGCTCACTAGCGACTGGACCTATTCAGGCAGTTATATGGGGTTCAAGTGGGAAGCCATGACCAGTAGGGTACAGCGGATCGAAGATGAGGACAGTTACTTATCGAAGAAGACATTGCGAAGTGGTCGCGCTATGTTGTGAATTGGCCCAAGTCAGAATTCATGAGTTGGCCATTGGATGGGATCCCAATGGCTTAATGGTCTACGTGCTTGCTTGCTTGTAATCGGAAGACCCTGGGTTTGAGACCCTGTGGTGAGTGCGTACTGATGAAGAGTCCCAAACTAGGACGAAGCAGCTGTCCAGTACTTTCAGGTTTTCCAATAATTCTCTAACTGATGTCAGCTCATGATGAAATCCTCCAACCAATATGACTTACTGTTTTTAGAGTTCAAAGATATGCGTGATATGAGAATATCTCTGCTGTTCCATTGATAAACTGATGTCAACCGGTTGTGTTATCTTTTTTTTAAAAAAAGGTTATTTGAAGAATAACTAAGTGGTAGAACATCCTAAGGTGAAACCTGAAGAATTAAGACTGTCCGATTGGTTTCCTTAAAACCCACTGACTGGAGATTGTTGGTGATATTCGTCAAAATCTTTATCAATGATACAGATGTATTCACTCCTTCTAAACCTTTAGATCTGTCAAATTCCCATTATTATCATCCATGTTTTTATTCTTTCTCCTGTGCATTTCCGTTCATTATATTCCCTCCTGAATTGTTTTCTCCATCTTTGTGTGCTACATGAAGTGTGTAGTGACTTAAATTGCTGCACTTCTGTGCGAAATTCTACATTGGAAACTCAGTCAGACGAATCTCCCTTGTCTAATTACTCTATTCACACAAATATAACCTGTGATTTCACTATGAGATATGTGTTTGTATCTATGACTAAAAAAGTAGCTTACGAGTACAAGAAAAAGAATTGGAGTTAATCAGGTATTTATTTGTCTGATGGCTATGTGTTGGTAGTTCAGGGGTAGTATGCTTGTCAACCACGCACATAGTTCGACTCCCAGCCGGTGCACTCTTAAACCTCGCTTAACCGGTAGTAGGCCCGGAAAGCGGGGAAGACTGGCCATGAGGCTAACAACCCCTCCCCCCCCCCCATTGTAAAATTAACATCACTGATACTAAAGCTTGAAGGCTTATGTTCCGCTCAAAATGCAAACGAATGGAGAAAAAATTGTCTAGAGGTAGTGAATCTTGGTTTCATGTTTTGCTATCGTTCACTAGCTAGATATTGTGGCAACGTTTATTCCATTGGACCATAAGAGCTTGCATCATTTAGACGCCAAAGGCAGATATTATGAAGAAAAGTACTAATGCAACAACAGAAGACAAGGGCCAAGCAGGCAACAGATCGTTTATTAAGGAAATCAACACATATTTATAGCTTTTCATGTACATTATTATAGATTATTGTTAGCAGAAAAACACAGTCTTCTGATTGGTTGTTTCTCTCTGAAAGTTAATCTTTCATGTCTTTGTGGCTGTTTCTTGAATGTCAGATCATCTATATGCTAATTGTATCCGCCTACGCAAGGTCTGCTGTGATTGGTTGTTGAATCAGTCTTTGTTCATATTTTTCTCACGACCAATATTGAGGACGTAAACATTGACGTAAATTACCATCTACCAATTTGGCTAGCAGCCAGCTCTCACCACACTAAGTGTTAAAAGTGACCTTCACTAGTAGGATTAGACAGTTTTACATTGCTTTATCATACATTCGTGTGTGTGTGTGCATGTGTGGTTCAGCAGTAGAATACTCGCCAACCACTCACGTGGT